CAATGTTTCACATACGCTCAGCCTAAAAAAACAATGCAAAGCAATGACCGCGACAGAGAGGGAGAGAATGGAGCTGATATCTTACAATTCGAGTCGAGCTTCCGAGGCCCAGGCGGAAAGATCGAATTTAGCCAATCTAGTTAGTTGGGTACGACCTTCTTTCGCCGCCTGCTCGATCAGTAACCAGAGCGGAATGACTCGATCTTTGACCGCGAGCCCAGAATGCCCGTTCATTTCGGACAAGGAACCCGGAGTTCCCAGGAATCCACTGCTACCCAGCGAGGAGAGTGAGAACACGGTCGAATCGCCATCCGTCGTGTTCGCGTTCAAATGATCCGAGGTGGGATAGGAAATTCGGACAGGGGATAGGACAGCTTTGAGCAGTGACTCCGCATCGTCCAGATTGCCGCGTTTTAGCAAGGCTGATGCCTGTCGAGGCGGATTAGAAAACAAACAAAAAACATTAGACAATGACTGGAAGTGCCCCTGGAACGGAATGATAGTATAGAAAGTATTAGGTTAGCGTTGCCTCGCATTCAACAGATAAAAAATGACATAGAATCATGATTATTTAGATTCACCGGACCGCGAGGATCCGAGCAGAAATTTCTATTAATCACACGCTCAGAATTGTACCCAGAATAGTAAAAACGCTAAGCCCCATAATCACGGGAAATGCGAAATCTATAACGCGAACTTGACGCGACAATCCACATAAGGTTTCACTTAAATGGTAGTGGTAGTGAATCGGACTACAATGAAGTTGTTGGCCATCATCATCATCGATACGTCTGAAAATGCGTTCTACCGTCAGTTCCGTCTTCATTGGTTGTGTATCCTCCAGAATATGTTCTGCTCCAATATATGATCTAGGTCAACCTTAAAGAGTTTGTGTCCGGACTCTGTGAAAATTCCCAAGGAAAAGGAATTGACATTCGTTTGTGAATGTGAGTCAGTGACACAGAGGACTTCGGGGGTTTGGACTTTTCGCGGTATTTTCCTTGAATTCCCATGCGTGTCCCAAAGACAATACAACCCTCGTTTTGTTTCAGCAATAATCTCCTGGGGCGTTTTCGACCAAAAGTCATGGTGAAAGAGAGAGCGCGCGAGAGAGAGAGAAGCAGAGCCCCGTTGATAGATGTGAACCGGGTATTTCCTTAACCCCCACCCTACATCACCTCCCGCGGCTCACCCAAACACCGTGTGACATGGAATGTCGATTGGAAATGACAAAAATGCACACAGTTGCTAGTGTGGAATTCCATGTTCTTTTACGTTTGAAGACTTCGGGTTCTTTTACGCTTTTTGGCTATTCTCGTCTCGAGATCGAAGGTGTTCAAGCAAAAACGTATTTCAGCGGGCGACCGTGATTACCTAACACGGGGCTAAACTACGGTCTCTTTTGTCAGACTGCGCCACCGAACGCCAGCTATGCCGGGCAGAAACCCAAGGTTTTTCCCTGCCCGCCGTAGCAACCAATAAGTATAACTAGCCGAAGCGCTATGGCATACAGGCAACACTTTGGACAGTGGAATACCGCTGCAGCGTCAAACGTGTCACAATTTCGCTAACACCGATCGAGCCGCATGTACGCGTGATGAAACTTTGTCTGAGATTGATCTGTCTGCTGAGTTGTTTCAGTTTCAGTTTTTACAACCATTAACCACTTTCGTGAGCCGGTTTTGGTTGCTGTCTTTTGGTAGTCCATTTGGATAAGAGAGCGGAATGAAGATTGGAATGCTAAGACCAAATTCACAGGGAAGATAGGGGAAAATTCATAAAGACTGAGGTTGCAAGAATAATGAGCAAATGCATGGGCACGACTGTTTGCGACACCCAGCCACATCGCTCAGTTTCTCTAACCACTAGTGACCATGATCTCGGGGTCCCGATCCAGGGAGCCTAACGAGGCCTATGTGACCCAGTCTCCCGATTAGGGTTTTCATACCCGCTAGATTTGCTGAGATGTAGCAATCCACATAAACAAGCTTCTCTAGCACCGCTTTTTCTGGTCGTGTCCGAATGAGAGCTGGATCTGCTCAGTTCCACAAAAGAATTCTACACTTTGGAGGTGCAAAACGCTTGTCAAACGTAGATTCCCTAACATTCTAAACGGAAAGATCAGATAAGACTGGTCTCCTTCGGGAGGGTGGTGCCAGTGGTCCGGTGGTAACGTCACCAAGTTATCAACCCAGGGATGTGTGTTCGAATCCCACCACCAACGCCGCCTGACTTTCCCCATTTGTATGTTGAATGGCAGCCCTTTGGTTGGCCGCTTCCCCCTTCGTCAAAATTGTATCTGTTTATTCAATAAAAAGAAGTAAAATGGAAAGAAACGGGAGTTCATAGGAAAGCCGTTTTACGTAGTACGCTCGGGCGAGGAAGGTTGGATGAAGATTTGGATTTTTATATATATATATACAGGGATTCTGTCTTCAATCTTCAGGATTGAGAGCAGGGTGCCCGTGTAAGCCTCATCACCACTGGGTCGAAGGTCCGATCATAAGTGTTCGTTCCTCCATAGCCCCTTCAGGTGCTCATCCAAACGCCGTTTGAAAGCAGCGTCTATCTTCTCTTCCACCACAATCGCTGGAAGGGAATTCCAGAGTGTTGTTGACCTACGGAAGACTAACTAACTGAAGTTTCCGCAACGTGAGAGAGTGTCCCCGCGTGCGGTGCTCTGTCCGTAAAGGGAAGTACTGTTGCAGCTTCGGACCCATATCACCTCTCAGGATCTTCCTCAGGCAGATGAGATCTCCCCTGAGGCGTGGATATGCAATTAGGAACAGACCAGTAGCCTATAGACAGAGAAATCAACTTCCCGAGAGCATCCTTTACCGGAGGCGGTATTAAAAGATCGACGGAATCGAAGAAGGCCGCTTTTAGATCAGGAAATATCTTTGTTCCAGAATCGCGAGAGGAAGGAAAGTGTGGTTCAACTATGTTCGATCCGATCAAAAACCAGTATGGTTTTCACACGAGCACCGTTCACGTGCGGCAAACAATCCACAGAATATGCTGTTGGCGAGAAGCTACGAGGCGAAATTCAGAAATTCAGATATTAACCCGTCAAGAACAGCAATTTTGTACACCTGAGTTCCCAAGGACTGCAGCTGAATGTTCTACATTCCCTCACAGCTCAATTTCGGTTCGACCACAGCCGCGAATCACGATTGCTTCCAGTTATCCCGTTATCCACTGACATTATCACGCTCTGGTCACAAGTGCCACGCAAAGCGACCAAACTAGAAACTCACATTCACAGACCGGACAGGAAAGAAGTCACGTTGAAATCATTTCGTTTCTACTCATTTGTCTTTCTCGGTGGATGANGGGGGGGGGGGTGGAGAGAGATGGAACGAGACTCCACAGTGTCAGTTACATGGTAGACAGTGTACACTGGTGGATGGTTATCGAATGAGACACCGATGTCACGATTTGATCGACACTAATAGAATATATATAGCACACCTAAGTTAAGGACAAGAGATAGAAGTCGACTCTTTCAACTGTTCCAATCAAACGCATATCCCAGGAGTTTCATCAAAGCG